CAATTTCACTTGGCTCCTCTGAGGTTTCAATAATTACATAGACCTCCCTTGGACCAATCAAATGACTAAAATGTCCTCCACTTAATAATTAATTCATAAAAGGACATTTAAAACCAAAAATACTTCTTATTATTCTACTTGTTATTTACTAATCTCAAAAAATAATTTACATAAATTTTCTAATTTTATCTCTTCCTCTCTCCCTCTCTCCCTCCCTCCCTCTTATATATTTTTCTCTCTTTTTCTCCTACAACCGCTTCTCCCTCTTATCAAATATCGCGCTCCATTATTACCAACCACACCACTATCAATTTTTTACTATCTCTAAAATTTATTTGCATTTTTTGTCTTCCTGTCTCTTTCATTCTATAAAAATTTTAGACCTTTCCTTTTTTTTCCAATAGTTTTACTCTTTACAAATGTTAGCCAATTGAAGTTACCAAATTAACAAGGCGCAGACCATGGATTTTATTGTCAAACTAAGGGAAGATGAAAATGGTTGCAGTGAGAAAAAAATGAAATTGAGAGTTGGAACATAAAGAAGTGACTATTATGTTTGTTAAGCAAAAAAGTCTAGCAATTACTCATTGGTTCTCTCTTTTATTTACCTATTGATTGTGGTTTTACTATAAAGGCAGAATTTTGTTTCTATTTCTAAGAGTGCTAGAGTAATGATAAATTATGTTCTCAGGGACATGGGGCATTTCTTAGTTTAATATTGGTAGTGGTGGTAGTGAGTTGCATTAGGCAAGAATTAGCAAATAATGAATTTTGAGATGAGTTGGAGTCACTAGACTTTGTTTGTTTTAGTAAATATGACAGTACAAGAAATTAAAGAATAAAATCTTGTTTTGTTTTTTCTTCTTCTTTGAAGAAGGGTATTTTAGGATATTTGTGAAAAATTATAATTCTTTGGATCTATATTGTTACATAAACCTTAAAAGTAAGGGTGGTAGGTGTAATTTTTGAAATTTAAGGAGAGCTCTCTGTAATTGCTGGAAACCTCAAGGAAGGTTTCTGAAATTATCCCTTTATTTTAGAATGGCACGCTTTTGTCAGTAAACTTAAGTAAAAAATTTACCCTTGCAGATGTTCTTTTCTTTTGTTGAGTACATTTATTTGCCACATGTTGCAAGTGTATTTATAAAGATTCCTATGACAAGTTAATAACCATAGGATCCCTTCACGGTGCCTATTTACCATTTCAAACTGATATTCTTTTATGTAGATTACTAAATTGTTCTTTTTCTTTGTTTCTTTCCACAAAAAGTCCGGCTCTATTATAAGGTTTGATTTGTTCAGATAGAATCTTAAACGAAACTATGTAACAACATCTATTAGTTGTTGGATTTTTCTAATATATTATTGCAAGTATAGTTACATATGGGATAATTTTGTCCCGTTGCCACTGCTGATTGTAATCATTCTTATATTGTCTTGTAATCTGTTAGTGGAGTTTATTTTTATATATTGCAATCTTTTTGACTCCTTTACTATATTTTCTATCTTGTCTTGATTTGAAATCTTTCCTACCAGTAATTGTAACCTTGACATTTTTTTTTAATTGTGTAAGTGGGAGAGTTCAAATTCAAGACTCTGAAATTACTCACCCAACTCATCTCTTTCCCTAATTTTGACTTCTTAAGTACCCTAAAGTAAGCATAGTGTATATAAGATAAAACACAAACTAAAATAAAAGCATGTTCAATTTATAAAAATAAGATGAGGGCATAGATTCTAAGACTCATCTATAAGACCAAAAAGAAAAATACATTACTAAAACCACATGGAAAAATAGAGGGGATAATTCTAAACCGTGAGAAGAGTCAAGAGAGAGAAAACATTTAAACAAGTTTAGTAGCGAGTGATGAAAGTATCAAAGAAGTGTCAAGTGTGGTTCAAAATAACAACAAAGGGGAAGTAAAAGTAAAAATGTGCCGCAGTATGTTAGAAAACTAGAATGAAAAAAGTTGTGATATATTCCTCTTGGTCATAATACAAAAAAATGTCCCTATATATAGGTCTATATACTAAAATACATTGAATCTAGACTAACTTTTACATATGGAAAGATCTATAATTGATCCTAACTAGATGTAATTTATACAAGAGAATCATATAATTGATACAAGAAAATTATACGTCATATTGACATATTTACTTTAACACCTCCCCTCAAACTTAAGATGGTTGCAAGGAAACCAACTTAAGTTTGTTCTTGAGATGATGAAAACAAGCAGAAGATAGTGATTTGGCATGAATATCAGTAATCTGGTCCAATGACGAAACAGGGAAGAGACTCAAAGTACCATGATGAAGATGATGACGCACAAAATGATAATCAATTTCAATATGTTTGGTGCATTCATAAAACACATCATTATGTGCTATCTGAATAGCACTATGGCTATTACAATAAATAGGAATAGGTGAAGAGTGAGTAACACTCATGTCTTCAACTAGCTAGCGGACCCAAACTAATTCTTGAGATGTATCAGCCAAGGCGCGATATTTAGCCTCAGAACTAGAGCGAGCAGTGACCGTCTGTTTCTTACTACGCCAAGAGATTAAAGAATCACCGACAAAAAAATAAAAGCCAGTAGTTGAACGTCGATCAGTGGGGTCACCAGCCCAATCAGCATCAGAATAGGCACGAAGTTGAAGAGGAGAATGTGCTGAGAAATGAAGACCATGAAAAAAAGTACTCTTGACATAGCAAAGAATTCGGAGGACAACTGCATAATGAACTAAACGAGGGGCACTCATAAACAGACTGACAATATGTACAACATAAGCAATGTCAGGCCGGGTAACAGTCAGATAGACAAGACCGCCAAGTAATTGTCGATTTCGCGTAGGATTATCCAATAGATTGCCATCACCAGGAGTGAGATGTGTGTTTGGCTCAATTGGAGTAGAAGTAGTCTTACTATCTATGAGTCCAGCTGAAACCAAGAGATCTGAAGCATATTTAACTTGGAATAGGTAGTAGCCACTAGAGTCCGAGGAGACTTCAAGACCCAAAAAATAGTTAAGAGAGTCAAGATCCTTCATTTCAAACTTAAGATGAAAGGAGTGCTTAAGTTGTTGGATACCATCCAAATCATCACCTGTAATGATCATATCATCTACATAAAGAAGTAAGATAGTGCCAGCAGTAGTGCATCGAAGAAAGAGAGCAAAATCATGAGAACTAGAGATGAAACCCAAACTGTGAAGTGTAGAATTGAACTTAGCAAACCAAGCACGAAGACGACAGACTTTATGAGAAGAATGAGAAAAGCCTGGAGGTGGTCGTATATAGACTTCATCATTAAGATCACCATTGAGAAATGCATTTTTCACATCCATCTGGAAGAGGGACCAGTGACGAGCAGTAGTAATAGCAATAAGAGTGCAAACAGCAGTAAAATGAGAAACTAGAGCAAAGGTTTCTTCATAATCAATACCATATTCCTGAGTGTAACCTTTAGCCACAAGACGAGCTTTGTAACGCTCAATGGAACCATCAAAATGTGTCTTAATTTTATAAATCCATTTGCAACCAATTGGAGTTTTGTCTGGAGTTAAATCAACTACATCCCAAGTATGTGTTTTGAGCAAAGCATCAAATTCTTCTTGCATGACTTTTTGCCACAGTGGATAAGAAGAAGTTTCGCGAAAAGATGTTGGTTCATCTAGAGCAGATAAAGCAGAAAAGCAATAATAGTCACGAAGATAGGTTGGTTGAGTTCTTACCCGAGAGAGATAACAAGGAGAGTCAGGAGTAGGTGGATCATGAGTAGGAGAGTCAAGAGTTGACAGATCCTCTAGTGAAGACAACTCGTCAGGAGACGTAAGTGACTGTACAGAATCTGGAGAAGAATTTTTTGGAAAGAGATCTGCTGAGCGATTGGTAAGATAAAGAGGTAGAGAGAAGGAAGGTAAATGAGTTTTAGATATCCCAGTGAAGAATTTATGTTCCCAAAAATGACATTTTCGGAAATACGTTACCTACGAGAAATAGGATCATAACATCTATAACCCTTATGACACTACAAGAGATTTGGCCTTTTGTGAAATAAAAAGTCATCACTAAAAATCAAAAAGTCGTCATTATATGAGTATAGTGATGACTTTCTCCATTGTCACATGGTTGTCACTAATTCTATGTCACAAATAGGTATGTGTGGCAACCTCTTCAAAGTCGTCACTAAATCTTCTTATTTAATGACAAAGACTAAGTCGTCACTAACGGTTAGTATTCTGTGACGAATTTTCTTGTCATTGTTTCACATATTTTTTTGTCATAAAACGTAGCAAAAGTCGTCACAAATTTGAACAAGCACAGTGACGACTTGAACTTATCACTCTCATTCCTAGTATTCAGTGACAAGAATAGTCGTCACTTAGTGAACTTACAACTTTGTCTAGAAGAATTGCAATTGTTCATTACAAATATAACATTGTCACGGCTCTCATTCCGACAATTATAGCAAAAAATTAAATTTGGCTAAGAGTGACAACTTTTGGTAAGGTTGTCACTGAGTTTTGTCTTAAAGAGTTAAAATTGACCATTACAAATATAGTATTGCCATGGCATTTTCAACAATTATAACAGAACATTCAATTTGACAAAAGGCAAAATCAACGTAGAATATATGCCGCAAATTTATATATTTGACCATAACACATCTATAAATTAATCAAAACAAAAGTGAGCCACAAATGTTGAGTAAATTCCCAAAAAGTGTGACTTTTTAAACTAACTTCCCAAAGGGTGGTGATTTTTTAGTATCTTCCCAAAGGATGAAAAACGCATCCAGGAAATGCGTTTTTATAAATAAAATCGCAATTGTCAAATGCGTTATTTTAATTTTCATCAATTTATTTTAATATAAAAAAATTGGTTAAATAACGCATGATTAGAATGCCTTATTTTAAAAAGTCTCATAGGATGAATGCGTTTTTGGTCCTTAAAACCCATTTCTGAAATACGTTTATTAATAAAAAAACGCATTTGCTAAATGAGTTGTTTAGCATATCTAAGAAGCCTGTTCTACTCCCCGGTACTTCATAAGGGGTCTAAAAACTAATTTCCCCTCAATCCCTCTCTTTTTCTACCCTAACTTCTTCAGGCGCCAAACAAAACGCACCACCCATTCAATTTTTTCTTACATCTTATCCCACATTCGCAGCCAACGTAAGAGTAAGGGTGGTGATTGGGAGACTGCTGAGCTAATTAGGCATATTATCAGGTAATACTTAAAATCCCAAATTTAGGGTTTATGTAATGGATGCATTTAATTATTTTAAAGAGCAAAAAGCAAACCTGAGATGATTCTTTGGGGTTTATTGACAGAGGAAGATACCCGACAAAGGGCGAGAGTATTAGACAAAGAGATTCTGGAATTTTCTCAAATTCTACAGATCATCTACTCTCAGGTTTCTTTCTTTCTTTCTTTTTCCCTCTCAAGTAAGTGCTGAAATTTTTTTTTTTCCCCTCAAACTTAAAGTAAGTTTATTTTTTTGCAGATTCAAAGGATAAATTGTTGCCAGAGTATTCATTCTCTTCAAAGTGAGTGCTGAATTTCTTTTTCTTTTTTTTTTTCATACACTATTTTTGGTTGAAATATAAATGGCTTCCGTGTGTTTATGACATTTCTTCTACTAGTATACTTTTATATGTTGAGCTTCCAAGGTTGGAATTTTTGCTTCCTGTTGTTCTTGAAACCAATAAGAAGGGTGAAGCAATCAAAATAGTATAGAGCAATATGCATCCCGTACATTTATAGAAAAAGACAAAGTACGTGCCATCAACTAATGCATCATGAATTAAACTTCTAAAATCCGGATCTATTACTACTTGAATTCATAAATTTTTGACATCACCCAGTAATGCATCACTTAGATTCAAAAATGTATTGATCCATAATCTCTTGCACAATAATGAATTATAGAATACAAAGGAATTAAGCAATCCAGCAAACCCCAGCAGACAAAAAGTAAAAGATTTGGGAAAAGATATCCCCAACAGACCATAATATGAGATGATTATGTCAAGATGCTAAATTAGACTCCACACCTTGTACACTTTGCTGGAGATTACTTCAAAACTGAAGCAGGAGATATATTTTTCACCTTGTTTTCGAATTTTCTTTTTTTTTTTTTACATGTCAGTGTAGTTAGCATTCAGTTAATTTATTTGAAGATATCTAACTTTCTCTCAGTTTACTTGTAAGAATGTACTTAATGTCAATTTAACTGGTCTGAACCATGATTTTGTTAGAAGAGGAGCAGGGGATTTTGTTAATCAGTCCAACAACTTGCCTTCTGAGCCACCCACTGCATGTGTTGTGTGCGTTCTTGTGTGCCTTTTTTAAATTCTCAAGACTTAGATACATGCAAGAGTTTAGATACAAAACGTAGCAGCATATTACATTCAACACTTTTGATACATGTATGTCTACTCTCTTTCAGTTATTGTTAGGTGGTTCTTGAAATATTTTCTTATTCTTTACTGGTTATTGGCAAATATGAATGTTGGCACTATAGATATTAATCTAAATTAATGTGTGGTCATGTCAAAATGAAAAGAAATAAGAGACTACTATAGACTTTTATTTTTGAAAGATTCTTTCACAGTATAGAACGTAATACCTGTGGACAGTTTTGAAGTTTAGAAGTTACCTACATTTACAAGATATGACTGGTTTTAAAATATACTTTTTATTTATAGTATTTTTCAACATTCGAGATGAATTGACTGTAGTTTACATTTCATTTGAAGGCTTGTTAGCATATGTTTTAATGGATCTTCAACATCCATTGAAACTTGCTTTATATTGGGATGGTCATATCCAATATTATCCTGATTTGGGATTTATAGGCCCAATTGGCAAGATAGTTACAATCAACCACAGGATAAGATTTGGAGACTTACTAAGTAATATACACTCATATATTGGAGTGGATACAATAACTATAGATTTGAAGCTCATCTGCAAATATCCTGATCATGGACCGTGGGGTTTCAAATTTTGCCCATTACTAATAATGAACGAAGAGGGAATGGATTTGAGTAAATTTAGAGTAAATTTTGCACATTTATATATTTAACATAAATTATATGATTCAGAGTAAAATGCCTGCCCCCATAGCTAGTACTTTATTCAACTAATCGAAGAAACCCATAAAGAGTTGGTAAAAAGTGGGTAATTTCTTTTTTTTACTTTCACGTATTTAATTTATATTAAATACAAAACCTACTAGTTTTCCTTTCGTAATAATATTATTATAATACTTTTTGAATTTTACTACCAACATTTGAGATACAAAATTAGTGTATACATATGTAAAATCCAAAGTTCAAAACCTTTAAGCCTTTTGCAAACCTGAAATGAAATCTCTACCAACTAAATTAATAACAACTATGAAATAACAATTTTTTTGGATCTTGACTTCCATTAGTGAGCTAAATTAATAATAACTTCGATAAAATAATAAGATAATATTTAAAACAAAAACCTTACATAATCGAAGTCCAGAATGAAGAAATGAAAAAAAGTGGTACATATTGTAAAAAAACAACGCATTCATCTAATGCGTTTTATTATAAAATAACGCATTTCCGAAATGCGTTTTATGGTGAGATCAAAAAACGCATTCTAATAATGCGTTATTTGACCAATTTTTTCATATTAAAATAAATTGATGAAAAATAAAATAACGCATTTGACAATTGCATTTTTATTTATAAAAACGCATTCCCTGGATGCGTTTTTCATCCTTTGGGAAGATACTAAAAAAACACCACCCTTTGGGAAGTTAGTTTAAAAAGTCACACTTTTTGGGAATTTACTCCACAAATGTTGGGTTCCAAATCCCACATAATCAGTTCAAATAGTAATAATGGCCAACACATATCCTTCCCAAAAGATAGAGTACTAGATTTCTAAACAAAAGCATAGACTACAGCACCAATGTCAGATTTCAATCATCTCTAGCAGCAGATGCAACAGTCTTCTCACGATCAATATGGGGCTAGACTGCATTGAAAATAAACTTTTCTTTAGAGTTTCAGCATATCCAACTACTGTGAACTTCATAAGTAAAAAAATCAATCAAAAAAAGAGTTTCAGCCAAAATAAAAGCAAAGAATTTATCTCCTCACCTTTTTTGAAGTCTATCATTTGCGCAAGTCTTTCATTTGGGCTATCAACTCCTCGTACAGTCCCCTAGTTTCAAGTTGCTGATCTTGCAAGCTCTTAATTAGCTCCTTTTAGGCATTGAATTCCTCAGCAATTTGTGCAGCTTGTTGCTTTGCCGCATCTGCCCTTCTTCAATGTTCTTCAATTTCACTCCTCAAGTGGTCAATCTCCATTGCTTGCCTCTTGATTGTGCTGTGGCTACGAAGCTGTCCAGGTATGTATCCAAGTTGCTGTTGACAAATTTCCTTACTACCTATTGAAGTTGTAGCTTCCATCTCTTTCATTGTTGCCTAGACAAGACATTATATCTTTGGTGTTGAAAGGCATGTCACAAAGGAGTTGTAAATGCATAAAAATAGAATGACATCTCGCACCAAAGTCTCTTTTGCTACATAATTTATCAACCCTCCTGTGATCTTTGATGTACGACTGATTTCAAGTATTTCTATCTCTGAAAGCTCCACTCCCTTCTTCCTCTTCTGTCAAATAATCAGTTTGACTTAAGTGTGAGAATGTAGAAGGACAAAAAGTATAATGGAATCTCCACCAGCAAAAAGCATTAACACTGCAAAAATCAATCCACCAATTGCGGTACAATAGAGTTGTAATTCATAAATTATTCCAAATGCTCTCCAAATCTGAAAAAAACTGAAAGTTATTTGTATTCCTCAAAAACCTCCGCCCACATCACCATTCAATATTTCTTGGCCCGCTATTGGCCAAACCACCTGGGCACTAGGCCCAATGTGAATTGGATCACTTAGCCACGCTTCATAAGTGGAAAAACGAGCACCGTTGAAATACATGCCGCTCAACCAAAGAAAGATGATGGAGAGTTAGCCGAAATGGGCACTAAATACTTTTCGAGAAATCTCCTCCAAATCACTGGTATGGCTATCGAAATCATGAGTATCAGCATGTAGATTCCAGATCCAAGTGGTAGTATCAGGTCCTTTAGCTATTGTTCTTGAGAAATGACCAGGTTTGGCCCATTCCTCGAAACAACAGAATTGATTACCTTCTCTTCAACAACTTTAGCAAGTGACTTTGTTCCCACAGTAGTATGAGTTTCATTCTTGGCACGATTTACTTTGTTACAGTCACTGATTTTCTGTAATATATAAACAACCAGCAGTAATTCTAAATATTTGAAATAAATTTTATGTTTAGGTAAGACTAATTCAAATATGTAACTAGACCTTGAATTCTTTACTTCCAAAGTAGTTGCATATCCATGTCCAATCCTCAATTGATACACCTTCAGGAACATGACTTTGGCATCTACTTTGCTATCATAGTTAGCAACTATGAATTCCCCTTGAATGTGACTTTGGCATCTACTTTGCTGTCATAGTTAGCAAGAAAGGCTGGACAATCGTTTGAAGTTTTATAGTACACGTGTGCCTGATCAAACAAATTCATTCTGTTTTCGAATAAATGCACTATTTTGGATAAATATACTGCATCTTTTGCCTATTTTTGAAGACATAAACTGTAATGATCATAAAAAATGTCTATTGCATATGTCCTCTTATGAAAAACTCTTTCTTTGATCACTACCCACCATTATAGTGGGGGTAATGGGGAAGATGTCCTTGAATTAAATCAGTTGGTTTAAATGTTTAACAGAAAAATCTGCCTCAACCCACTATTGTCCAACTCATTATAGGAATAGAAATATCAAGTCAACAAACGGGTTCTTCATTTTCTTTTTAAGCAGGAAAATACCAATATCAAATCTAAATGATAAGTGACTAATTTACGTAATAATTGTATAATATTTTATATTATTTTTAGTCACTTTAGTTATATTATTGGAAGAAAATGATTCATTTTGGCTATAATTGGTGAAAAATGTTTTTAAGTGATTAAATGAGGTTTTTATCACTTTTTACTTGGATTTTGTGTATTTTGACAGTTTTGACACATTTTTGTATTTCGGCTATAACTTGAGCTACAGTGATCGGATTAAGATGATTCTTGAACCAATTTGAAGATAAGAGATAGATCTACAACTTTGGTGAAGACATCTAAATCCAGTTTGAAGGTTTTCCAGGTCAAAATGCCGAATTACAATAGCAAATTTCTACTGGTCGAAACTGGAACAGGGCAATGAGCAGGTAAGGGTATTTCGGTCATTTCTCAGCTTACACAGATCCAAATGAGGTGATTCTTGATGCATTGGAAAGCTAACTCAAAGGGCTATAAGTTTCATGTTTTGGTCAAGAGCTAAATCAGCTTTTATCATCAAGAAACGTTCAGTGCAAGTTGATGCAAAATCGGAGGAGAACTGGAAATTGAACCAGAAGTGACCAAATGGTCACTGTAGCAATCCGGCCAGAATTTGGCCGGATTTGTGGCCGGATTCCTGGCCGGATTGTGGTCAGAAAAGGCTGCTTTATACGCGTAAAACTCAATTTCACCTCCACCAACTCACATGGGATGCTAGACATGTGAGAAACATTCCCAGCTGTAATCCTCATTTCTTGACCACCTTTCATCATTAAAGAGCCAAATTCATTGCAACAAGAGAGGAGGAGATGGAGTTCATAGCAGAAAAATAGAGGGAGAGACGGGAGAAGCTTGAAGCTGCAGAAATGTAGCTCTTTCATCTCCCTAGTATTAGTTTAGCTTAGTATAGAGTAGTGTAACTTTTCCATTCTTGTTTATTATCTAGATTAGGATGAAGATGGAGGATGAAGAAGGCAAGGAAGAAAACTCATGTGACAAGGGTTGTATTCCTTCCAAACTCTTTATCTTTTGTATTTGATTCCAAGTTTGGTTAATATACAAGTTCTGGATTTTGTGTTCATTATGTGCTTCTAAAGTTTATACCTTGGGTTTGGTTGAACTTTCTATAATTGTTAGTGTTTATTATTTGGTTATTTGACTGCTATGATTTGAGCAAGTTATTTAGCACTTTGGCTTCTTAAATCATGATTAATCTGGTACCATTAATTATGATTATCTAAGGTGTTGTTTCTGCAATGGAAATTGAGATTTAACACTAGTTCAAGAAGTGCTAAACATAGGGAGTACACTCACGAAAGTAGAGGTGCACCTATGTGGTTTTTAGTGATTCATTTCATGTAATTTCATTGAAGAAATGAACTTGTAGCTAATTTCATAACCATGAAAATATGTATGGATTAGTTATAAGTATAGTTGATTCACTACGAAAGTAGGTTTCACATGTTTAAGGAAATTACACCATAACTAGCCTAGATGTAGTATTCAATGATCCAAAAATAGCACTTGCATGAGTAGTTAGGGATACCACAACCTAAGGAGCTTTTATTTGTTATTTTGTATAATTTCAGTAGGTTAAATTTCTTATAATTCATTGATAGTCTAAATAATAGAGAAGCTTTAGTAAGACCGGTAATTGTTCACTCTTCCCTGTGGGATCGACCCGATATATACCCTAAACTACTAGTTGATCTGTATACTTGCAGTGAACGGGTGTAATTCGGTATTTTTTAGCTTGCACGTATGTAAAATACCCGTCAAGTTTTTGGCGCCGCTGCCGGGGAAGATTTGGCAATATCGGTGTGAAGAGTAACTTTATTAGTTTAGACATATTATTAGTTATACTGTGAATGTTATTTTCTGTTATTTTAGTGTTTTATATGTGTATGTGTTTTATCACCTATTCTTCTTACTAATTTTGCTCTTAAGTTATTTAAAAGCAATTTTAGGTGATGAGGAGGATAGGTCAATTTGGAGGACAATGCTTGAGAAGTGGAAGATTGGCAATGGATGGTTACCAAGTGCAAAACTCCTTCAACAGAGGTAACCAAGAATTTACTGAATGTATGTCTTTTGAAGATGGTTTAAGGTGCTTAAAGGCTAAATTTGATGTTATGATGTTACAAGTTCAAATGGACACAATTAAGCATGAAATTGAGCAAGGGAGGAATGTTAATGTTTTTAATTCTTATCATGTGATTTGTGACTTGTGTGGAGGTTATCATGCTACTAATACATGTATGCAAGTACAAAATGTGGATTATTATTATGAATTAGAGCATTACAATCCTTGTTTTGATCAATATAGTGCTAATTGGAGCAATTCTCCTGCTTATGGTTGGGATAATCAATTTACTTATAGTAATTCTTTATATTTTTATGATTACCAATCTGAATGTGTCCAATATGAATCAAAACCATCTTGGGAGTTGGCAATAGAAAAAGTAGCTAATGTGACTTTCGACCGTTTTGATAGGATTGAGAAAAGAATAGATGAATTAACTTCTCACTTTGGCAGAATAAATGAGCAATTGAATGCATTGTGTGAAGTTATTTCTTCTAATAAATTGCAAAATGATCCTAGCATGAATGGTGGGAATGTTGTATGTGAAAATGGGTTGCATTTTGATGAAAATGATGAATCTCAATTGTGTTTCAATGAGCAAATGTCCATTTCACATGATAATATCTTTGGAACTAACTTTGAACCTCAAGAGGTGAGTTTTAATGACTCATTTTTCACCCCTCTTGAGGAGTGTATAAAAAGTACAGGTTTTAAAGATATTCCTGCCCAAGATACTCTCATGACATTTCCTTTGGTAAGTTCTCAAGTGGTGCATATTCAAGGTTTTTAGTAAGTTTAAGTGTTTAATTAGTGTTTTTGTGTGTTTTAAAGGTGGCAATGGCAATGGTTTATGCAATTTGTTTCAAGTGCAGAAGAACTTATAAGGAAGCAAAAAGGGAGTTTTCTTGTTCATTTGATCCAATTCATGCATTTGAAGTGCTTAATTCTAAAGTTATATTGATGCATGATTTCATGTTTCAAGGAGCAATTGGTTGAGAAGGCACAATTCTTATGTTTAAGGTGAACTTTTCTTGAAGAAAATGGAAAAGGATGAAAATAGGGTAAGTAAAAAACTTTTGAAAATGGAAAGCGGAAGGAAAAACTGCAGAAATAAAAAATTTCTGCAGCAAATCCGGCCTCAAATCCGGCCAAAAACTGGCCGGATTCATGGCCGGATTATCAGGGGAAGAAAAAATCAAATTTTCGGAGCTACTGCCTCATATCCGGCCTGGAATCCGGCCGGAAATCCGGCCAGTTTCTGGCCGGATATGCAGAAAAAAAAAAGAGGCACTGTAGCAAATCCGGCCAACTTTAGGCCGGATTAAAGGCCGGATTGAGAGGCAAAATTGAAAAAAAAATTTTAGTGGCTACTGGCCAGTATCCGGCCGAGAATCCGGCCGAATATCCGGCCGGAAACTGGCCGGATTATGGCCACTTTTGCGCACAAGAGGGGAATCCGCGCACGGATTCCCCAATTTCTTCTTCCTCCTTTCTTCAACACTTCACACACACTCACACCTAAAACACACACTACTCCTAAAATCCAACTTTTCACCATCCAATCTCCAAACTAAATACACCAAAACATTTCCCTTTTACTTGTGAGTTGATTTCATAGCTTAAATTCCTTCAAAAACAAGTTTTAATTTGGATTTGAGCTTGAGAAGAACAAGGGTTTCAATTTTTTGAACTCTTCAATTAAGGCCAAATTGGAGTGGAATTTTTGGGGGTTTCTTCACCATTTGTATCATTAATCATCTACCAACAAGTTTTTGGTAACAAATCTTCACCAAATGTTGTCATTTGAATTTTGCCAATTTTCACTTTTTCCTATTTTTGGGCAATTTCGAATTTTTTTTCATTTTGTGAAGTTTGATGCTTTTTATGATGTTATTGAGCTTATTGATGATTATTGGTGATGTTTAACTCATGGGTTTGAGATTATTTGATGAATTTAGCAATTTTAAGCTAATCTTGAGGATTACTTTGATTTGATCATTATTAGCTAAAATTTTGGGCAATTGGATTGAAGAAAATTGTATGAGAGTAATGGATTGCTCTAGGATATTTACATGCTAAATTTAGGCTTAATTAGCTTATCCTTTGATTTTTGGCATGTTTATTCTAGAAAATTTGATTAAAGTTGAATTAATGACCTTTTTAAGTCTAAACTCATGGTTAAGGTGCTTTTTAGCATTTCATTATGCTTATTTAGGTCATTAAGTTGGGAGTAAGTTGTGTGATTGTTTAATTGCTTCTCTACTTATTTGGACATTTTATGC